CAAATGATTATATGTGCGAAATATCAGCTCGATTTAACTCACTTCAGGCTGTTCATTTATACTATACAGCATCTCTGACCCCTTCTTTTGGGTATTTCTATCTTATAGATACTTAGTATACCCAGTTCAAGGTATAAAAGTATCTCGTCAACCATATTTATTGCAATATTTTCTCATATAAAATCATTGTGGACCCCTCCTACTAACACTGCACATACGCCGCTGTCCGTCGTGCAGTGCATAATTAAAATGACGACAGATTAGCTGCAGGTATGACTAAGTAAAACGTGGTGGCAGCTAATTAAAGGACAAAAGTAAATTCAAATTTTACACCTTCCACAACCAAAACGGTAAACACAGTTAGCCAACGGGTATTAAATTGTCATGTACAGCCGACGGATGAGTAGAAGCTCTAGTGCCTCATATGTACAAATGCATTTAGAGCGAGGAGAAGGGTGTTCTTTGCCTTGTGTACGCTGACTATAGCTCTATTTGCTCCTATAATATAGCTAAATGAGTTCTTGAAAGGCGTATTGTTGTAATGCGCTGCAACTCGTCGTTATTGCACTACATTGCCTTCAACACAGGCACACATGCATACGTATACATACATACATACATACATACATATGTATATGCATACATTAGCTGTGGACATTGTGGGTTAAGTAAAGAGATGCAAATGCACTAATAAACTCCACAACAATAACGCTTAGCGAGTTGAAGGAAATGTAACAACAACAGCAATGCGTACAAAGGTATTGCTGCAGAATTTTCCCTTTTTCACGAAGTTGGGTTAAGTTGCGCCGCTTAGCGGCCAGTCATGTCCATTTGAGTTGTGCTGAGAGCGCTGTTGTGTTGTTGCGTTAATCCGTTGCGCGTAAACATTGGCATAATTGGTTAATTTTCTTGTTACGCTTTATTGTGCATATGCAACAATTACAACAATTGTAACAATTTCACTTTCTGTATTGAGTTTTATTGCCGCATCTTGAACAATCGCCGCCACCAACCGCCGTCCACAATGACGCTTAACGCTTGACGTGTAACAGTGTTTGTATATATATACATATGTATGTATACGACACGCTGTGTGCCCGCAAAACCGTTTCGGCGATGAGAGTTAAGAGTGAAATGGTTCAACGTCAATTTCTTCATCAATTTCGATAGAATTTTCCAATTTCAACAATTGTCACAACCTTTTCCGTTTTTCCGCTATTCATATCCAGTGGGCTATGTAAAAGAGGTTATGCACATACTTGGTGCATACAGTTGCCCATTTCTTCCACCTCACATAGACACAATAGGAAAGTAAAGTTCTCTGAATAGGATTTGTTGTATTTGTTGTGTCGTAAATATTAGATATTCACCGGTTCACTGATTTCCCTTGAACGTATCAATGTCGTTGGGTAAGTCAAAAGGTTGGCCAATAGCTCAATTTGCATACTTAGATACTAAATACCAAAAAGTTGCCTCAACATGCGGCAAATTTAGGTAACGAACGGGCTGTGATCTGTCAACGCGCTCTTCCAGGGTTAAGCGGATTAGCGCACAAATATTGTCTAGTATATGTTGGTATGTATTTATTTTCTGTGAATCGATAAACTCGACATTTGCTTTTAGCTTAGAGTTTGCTTGCACACTCCCACTCTGACCTGTCGTTAGAGTTTTGCACCTTTTTTTGGGCTGAATGACTCTAATTTCGGTAATATTGTCGAAAAGTCAAATGCCGTTAAATTGTTACGTGAGATTATTACTCGCATTATTATGCAACTGCTAAATGTTTTGTCACTTATTACCTAACTATGCGCACCATTCAAATGCCATTGTGCAATTTTTATTGTTTGGTCAAAAATTAGAGCAGTAAAATTTCTATGGACATTTACTTGTTTTTGTTAGTGGGCTACTGTGTAGCTATTGTCGTTTAAATGGCGCGAAGTTCACTTATTTTTAAGAGTGGTTTCAGCGCAAAAAATTACTTATTAATTTGAGGAGTAAATTTGTGCATTTCT